CAGGGCCAAGGACTGGCTTGGGAGTGAGAGAGGAGGCCCAGACCGGCCGCGAAAGCTCTGCTCTGTGCTGCCCGAGTTCTTGGCTGTAAACAACAAAACCTAACTAGGTTCACGTGAGCGAGAGAGGAAGCGATGGTGCAGCTCTGAGGTTCTCACAAGACCTGTTGGGAAGAAGGGCTGGGAATGAAGTTAGGAAACTCACAGGAATCACAGGAAACTGGGTGGCTCCCACAGGAAGTCGCTGGTGCCCGCCGGCCCTGGCACTGGGAGGGCAAGTTCTCGCCTGTTGCTTGGTTCTTTGGGACACCTGCTCCGTAGTCTAGGACAGTGGTCGGCAAACCGCGGCTCTTTGGCCCCTTGAGTGTGGCTCTTCCACGAAATACCACGTGCGGGCGCGCACGTACAGTGCGATGGAAACTTCGTGGCCCATCGCAGAAGTCGGTTTTTGGCCTGGACGAGTCTATTTTGAAGAAGTGGCATGAGAATACTTAAGGGGCCAAAGAGCCGCATGTGGCTCGCGAGCCGCAGTTTGGCAACCATTGGTCTAGGAGATACCTAGACTCCTATCTGATCTAGACTCCTGCCTGTCCTAGCCGGAAATCTCTCCCACCCAGAGCCCCGCCATGGAGGGGCCTTCTCTCTAGAATGCGCGATTATTCAGTAGCTGCACAGCAAACGAAAATCTCACACACACACACACACACACACACACACACACACTCACCACAAGCCCCAGCATTGTCCATCAGCTCTCATCATCTATCATCTCAGCCTTCCTGAGTGAACCCTATTTAGGAGGGCTGCTCAGAAATCTCAGGCTTCCGTTTGTTTTGTTTTTTGAGGGAGAGTGGAGGGAGGGGGAGAGACAGAGAGAGAGAAACGTCCATGTGAGAGAGACACATTGACTGTTTGCCTCTCGCATGCGCCTCCACCAGGATTGGGCCCCTCGACCAGGATTGGGAATTGGGCCGGCAGCCGAGGTACATACATGCCCTTGACCGGGAATCAAACCCGGGACCCTTCAGTCCGCGGGCGGACACTGTCCACATGCTCTGCCCTCTGCCTGGCAGCTTTCCCCCCAGATGCCACCTGCCTGGTCTCCTCTCCGAGGTGGCGCTCTGCCTCCCGGAGCGAGAAGGAATTTCAGAGGCTGCGCAGGAATTCCTGACATCCTGGCGGAGCCGCGGTAATAGGCACCTTCGCGGCGGCAGCGGAACCGCCGGCTCTAAATCACCGGGGCCTCTTCCCCCTCCTCCCTCCCCTCTTCCCCCTCCTCCCCCGCCCGCCCCGCCCGCCCCCTCCGGCCGGCGGGAGGAGCTGCGCTCCGGGGCGGGCGGCTCCGTCCTCCATCCTCCGTCCTCCCGCGGGGACCGCCGCTGCAGGTGCCGCGGAAATACCTGCCCCGCTGCCCGCCTTTGAAGTCGGCCTGTGCCCCCTCCCATCGCGGAGCCCCCCAAGAGGGATCATTACAGCCAGCGACCGCAGGGAATCCCCTGGATTCTCGGGAGCCCCTCCCCCTCTGCGTGCCCCTCCCCTTGGGAGCCCCTCCCCCTGGGAGCCCCTCCCCCTCTGGGTGTCCCTCTCTCTGGGAGCCCCTCCCCCTCTGGGAGCCCCTCTCTCTGGGAGCCCCTCCCCCTCTGGGTGTCCCTCCCTCTGGGAGCTCCTCCCCCTGGGAGCCCCACCCCTGGGAGCCCCTCCCCCTCTGGGTGTCCCTCCCTCTGGGAGCTCCTCCCCCTGGGAGCCCCACCCCTGGGAGCCCCTCCCCCTCTGGGTGCCCCTCTCTCTGGGAGCCCCTCCCCCTGGGAGCCCCTCCCCCTCTGGGTGTCCCTTTCTCTGGGTGCCCCCCCTCTGGGAGCCCCTCCCCCTGGGAACCCCTCTCTCTGGGAGCCTCTCTCTCTCTCTCTCTCTCTCTCTCTCTCTCTCTCTCTCTCTCGTAAAAGAAAAAATAATATATAAAAAAGCACACAGTACCATGCTTGGCCTATAGTAAGCCCTTAACAGAAGTCAGCATCAAAATTATAACTATTGTTCCTAATTATTACTCAGCAGCGTCCTGGGGACGGGCAGTTCTCACAGGAAGAAGGAACCGCAGCCGGAAGCAGTGTCAGCGTGTTTGTCACCTCACACCCTCTCCTCAGCTCCTGCGCTGCCCCAGGTGCTGCCCCAGGCACATTCTCCCCTCCAGCAGGCCGCCCTGGGGCGGGGTGGGAAGGGAGGGCTGTCCTGGGCAGGTCAGCTCCGTCTGCGGTGGCGATGGGGGTGCTCTGGGCTCACCCATCCATTTCCGCCCATCCGTGGGCTTCCTGGGCCGCCGCAGGCAGGCTGAGGTGACCCTCCGGACAACCAGCTGCAGGCTTCCAAGGCCTCTCTTCACGGCGTCCCACTTCCTGAGTCTCTGCTGCTGGTATCACTCCCATTTTGCAGGTGGAACATGAAGCTTTCCCCAGGGAGCATATGAAAACGTCAAAATGCAGGTGAGTTTACATCCCAAGCCTGAACTCTGCTGTGGCCACCTTCAAATTCTACTAATTCTTATCATGGGGCCCCACAGTCTCTTTTGCACTGGGCCCTGCAGATGATGTTGTTGGTCCCGCCTGTCTTCTCTTGCAGAGAAGATGTCTTCCTGGCAAAGAAAAGCAAGCTGAGGTGCAGAGAGGGGGACGTGACGGACACAAGGTCACGTAGCAAGTTGGTGGCAGAACTAAAACAGGCCTCCCTCCTGACCACCTGCCCAGCAGAGTTCTCTGGGAGCATCCTGTGTCCAACTATGCCCTGGAGGGGGAGTTCTGTGAGGGGCCTCTGGCTTCTGGGGGCCGGGCAGGGGCAAGAGAAGGGAGGGGGGAGGAAGAGGAGTGTTAAAAAAAAAAGCACTTAAAAGACCTGATTCCCTGCCTCGCATTCTGAGACCCATTAAGATTGACATATTGCCCTAGCCGGTTTGGCTTGGTGGATAGAGTGTCGGCCTGTGGACTGAAGAGTCCTGGGTTCAATTCCAGTCAAGGGCGCATGCCCAGGTTGCGGGCTTGATCCCCAGTGGGGGGCGTGCAGGAGGCAGCAGATCAATGATTCTCTCTCATCATTGATGTCTCTCTCTCTCTCCCTCTCGCTTCCTCGCTGAAATCAGTAAAAATATATTCTAAAAAAAGATTGATATTTGGATGGATGGACATGAGTGTTCAGACATCTAGTGCCTGTGCTCTGTATAGGATTCTGTTTGAGGCAGGCACTTCTGTGTGCTTGTGTGCTCCTGCATGTGTACCTCTGTGTGTGTATGTGCATGTGTGCATGTGCGTGTGTGTGTATGTGTGTGTGTGTGTGTGTGTGTGTGTATGTGTGTTGTGAGGATGGTGGGAAACAGACTAAGTATGGAGGAGAAAACATCCAATTTTTTGCTGCTTTCATTCACTTTTTAAAAAAATATATTTTATTGTACAGTGAGGAAGGGAGAAAGATAGAGAGTTAGAAACATCAATGAGAGAGAGTCATCAATCAGCTGCCTCTTGCACACCCCCTACTGGGGATATGCCCGCAACTAAGGCACATGCCCTTGACCGGAATCAAACCCGAGACCCTTCAGTTCCCAAGCCAACGCTCTATCCATTGAGCCAAACCGGTTTCGGCTCATTCACTTTTTAATTCCCCAGATATTGCTGGGATAAAACCCAGAAATACAAACATCCCTAGGATGCTGACACCAGCAGCAGAAACTCAAGGGAGTGGACGCAGTGAAGAGCAGGCCCTGGGAAGCACTGCATCTGGTGGTCTGGGGGGTCGCCTCAGCCTGCCTGTGGCGTTCCCAGGGAGCCCACGGCCAGGGGCAAGGCAGACAATAACACTAATAATCACACAAATCAATACATGGATTTGTTTCCTATGCCCAGACTTTTCCTCCGTTGAGTAATTCACAGTTTGACATAAGGGGGTTAATGGTATATTGGCAGATGGAGGGGAACCCCGTACCCATCCCAGCTGACTCCACAGCTGGCCGTGGCATTTGGCGGCATTCGGTCATGGCTGGGAATGAGACTTACCGTGGGGCTCCACCTACCTCTCTGGGGCTGCCTGGAACCCCACTGGGGGCCGTATTTGGGATTAAGTGCTACTCTTTTTCCGAGATCCTGTTTAAAATCCAAATCCCCCGGGGGTGGGGGTGGCAGCTGGGTTCACCGAGTTCATAGCTCAGTGCTGGGTCATGAGAGCAGGCTGCCCAAAAGATGCCCGGGGGGGTGGGTACCACAGGGGATGCAGACCGTCTTCTCCATCCTCCCTGCTGGTGACTCAGCCTGGCTCTGCCTGCAGAAAGGAGAGCTGGGGAGGAGTGGTGGGGTGGGGAGGAGGGTGGTAAGGCCTAATCAAAACCCAAACCCAGAATCCCACAGCCTCGCTGCCAGCTGAAAAAGCCAGGAATTCCAGGCGCATCCTACCTGCAGGGCCGCTGTTTCAGATCCGCCCTCCCTTACTGTTCCAGCTGGGACAGTCCTGCTTCCCCCCACATCCGCTCCGTGGTTGCCCCACAGGACTTGATAAGAACTTCAAAGGTTCCTGAAACACATTTAAGTACCCCTGTGCCCCTACCTGCTCTCCTGCCCAGAGGCCAAATTTGGCATTCTATTGGGGTGGGATAGGGCGGGTGGAGGAAGAAATGGAGCCCTGCCACCCCAGAAAGGCCCTGGAGAGAGGCAGGGGAAGTCCTCCCAGGCTGCAGCACTGTCCCAGGCGGGCGGGCGGGCTGGTCCCCTCATACAAGCATCTGCATGCTTCCTTCCTTGCTTGCTTCCTTCCTCTCGGTCCCTCCCTCACCAGCCTACCTGGAGGCAGGTAATAAAGCAGGAGGAGGGAGAAGGATGGATGGGGAGGGCGGAGAGCCACGTGGTGCCATAAAGCCCAGCTAACGAGCCCCCGTCCAGGGAGTGTCCAGCCTGCGGGAGGGGAGCCAAGGCTCGGAGGGGGACTGCCAGCCTTGGGAGCCGGAGCCGGAGCAGCTAGGCCGGGGGAAGGCCATGCACCGAGGCGCGCCAGGACCAGGCCTCCGGGGCCTCCAGGGGGCCGAGGGCTCCGTCAAGGACTTGGGGGGCTCTGGCCCGGAGGCCGGGAAGGATTTTGGGGTGCTGAGGGAGAACGGCGCCCCCCGCGGCCTGGGCGAGGCGGAGGAGGTGCCCGGCGGCAAGAAGCGCGCGCGGCCGGTGCGGTCCAAGGCGCGGCGCGTGGCGGCCAACGTGCGGGAGCGCAGGCGCATCCTGGACTACAACGAGGCCTTCAACGCGCTGCGCCGGGCGCTGCGGCACGACCCGGGCGGCAAGCGGCTCTCCAAGATCGCCACGCTGCGCCGCGCCATCCACCGCATCACCGCGCTCTCCCTGGTGCTGCGCGCCGGCCCCGCGCCCCGCGGGCCCTGCGGGCACCCCGAGTGCCGCCGCCAGGCCGCGCCCCCGGCCCCGGGCTCCGGCCCGCAGCCCGCCCCGCGCTGCGCCTCCTGCTCCCCGCACCCGCCCCCGGGGCGGCCGGGGCCCGGGGCGCAGGGCTTGGCGCAGGCTTCCTCCGCGGGGAGCTGGCGCTGGTGCCCCCGGGCGCCCTTGGCCTGGCCGCTGGGCCACCAGCACCCCTGACCGACCTGCCCGCGCGGCACAGGGGCCGGTGCAGGGAGGAGCCAAAGCCGGGAGGACTGCGAAAGAGAAGACGGCGGAAAACAAAACCCAAACCCGGGGAGACCCGCGCGAGGCCCCAGGGGAGAGGAGGCTTGGCCCGCGGGGAGGAACCGAACCTGGGGCTGCGCACCCCGCCGGCTCTGGCTCTGGCTCTGGCTCTGGCTCTGGCTCTGGCTCTGGCTCTGGCTCTGGCTCTGGCTGGCGTTCGGACTCGATGCGCTCCTGCCAGGAAGTGACTTTGTGTTCCTGTGCCTCTAACTGACTCCCGCTGTCCCAACCCAGCTGCGTTTTGGAGAATGGGTGCTTTGGGACGGGGGACTGGTGTATGGGAGTGTGGGTGCACTGGTGTGGTCTGATGGCACAGTGTGGGCTCCCCTGCCCCTGCCTGGGCGGATGCCCCAAGTCTGTGCTCTGGAAGAGGTGACCAGCAGCAGCCAAATAAAACGGAAGCCGGCATCTCTGTCTGCTACCAGCACGCCACGGGGCCCGGGGCTCAGCGTGGCCCAGGGTGGGTGGCAGAGGGCCTGAGGGACCTGAGAGGCCTGGGGGCTGCCCCTGGAATGTTGGCCCCCCCCCCATGAAGGCCAGGTGGGTACTTGGGGCCATTGAGTCATTGCAAGACCCCAGGTGAGGGGCACCGTGGGAAAGGACATCCTTGGGAACAGGGAGGCCAGGCCTGGAACGGGGAGGATGTGATCAGCCCCCCTCTGGACCCTGTGCCTCTGCCAGCTGCAGCCGGCCACAGTGAGGACAGCAGTGGGACAGTGTGGGCCAGCCCCCCAGAAGGAAGCTGAAGGTAGGGCCCAGGAGCGGGGGTCAGTGACTCCTGCCTGTCCCCCCAGTGAGGAGCTGGAGCTCCCAGGGAACCGGTGCAGCCGGGGCCGCTGTGTTGAGAGGGGGCCTTAGAACCCAGGAAGGATTACGGGGAGGAGGTTAGGGGAAGTGGGGCCTCCGGCCAAGGGTCCAGAGGAAGTGAGGGGTACAGCCAGCTCCCTGCCCCCAGAGAGGTCTGGAGAGCCGGTGTCCCCTAAGACACGGACACTCTTGTGCTAGCGTCCGGCCTCACTGGGGCGGGCCTGGCTGCTGGGGGAGGACCCGGATGTGCCATGGGCAGGCTGAGCGCTCTCTGGTCTCCTTGGAGAGCTCTTGCCAGCTGAGGGAAGAGTGGCACCGCTCAGAATTGGGGCTCCCCACAGGAACCAGAGAGACGCTCTTAGCTCTGGAGGAGTGAGGGCTCCCCAGAACAGCTGGGTGAGGCTCACTGCCATCATTCAAGATGCCTTTGCTTGCTGGCTGGTGCACTTGGCTCACAGACTCCCAAGTTCACAGGGCAGGGGGCCGGGGCACAGATCCCAGGAGGGCTGTGACTCTGGGTCATAAGGGTCATGGATGGGGTCCAGTCAGGAGCAAACTGTGGGACTCCGGCCCCAGGCCTGCCCGCCGAGCCGGCCCTCTCACGAGAGGCAGCGCACAGACAGGAGACAGGAGCCTGGCAGCCCCGCTCTGCGTGTCCACGGACTGCCTGTGCGACCCCTGGCATCGCTGAACCTCTCCCGCCTCTCCTCGCTCCCTTCTGTCCCAGTGACTGCCTCCAGGTAGCCGTGGGGACCAACATTCCTTCAAAACGCATTATTTCTGGCAATTAGAAGGTGTCCCATAAATTGTTACTAATTCTATATCATTACACTCTTACGACAGACCAGCCTGGACAGCGCTTCCACCTTGCTTCAGCCTGAGGCTTTTATCCTCCGCTTCCCTAAATTCCAGGACCGAGAGAGCCGAGGGTTCTCCTGCCCGGTGCGGCACCAGCGGGGTGAGGGTGCCCCCTGAGGGTGGGAGAGTGAGTGTCCCACAGAAGTGTGAGGTCCTCGGAGGCTGGGAAAGTGCCATCGACCCTCAACCATGGGGGAGGGTTAGGGGCTCGGGCCAGACCCACAACGAAATATCCACCTGTAATTTAAGTCAGTCCTCCGCGTATTGTGGATTCCTGTCGGAAGACTGAAAATACAGCAGGCCCTCGAACACCACAGGTTCAAACGGTGGGGGGCCACGTAAACACAAGACTTAAAAAAAAAAAAAAATCCTTGAATAAGAGAACGCACGAGGTTCAAATCCAGTTTTCAAGGGTATTTCTCAGCCTCCTCACTTATCTGCTGAGTCATCTTGGCACGGGGCCTCAGGATGGTGAGCCTCGGTGTTCCCATCTGTATAATGGACTTCCATAATGAGACTGACATCATAGACTGCTGTGCAGACTAAATGGGCTAATGTACTTACTTAAAGCACTTAGCGTAGTGCCTGGCCCAGGCAGCGCTCACTGCCTGGAAGCCATTAAGACATATTCTATTCACAAAGGCTGGAATAAGGGGAGGACGCACGGGAAGGTAAGCTTGTAAACTAGAGTCCACAGCGAGGCGGTTACTATTGTCTTATCGGGACTATGTGTTTGTGTGCACACACACCTGTGTATTTGCCTGCTGACATGCATTTGCCTAGCATCCTGGGATCCTGGTTGTTTTTCTTTACATGCCCAGATTATGGTCATGCTTATATAGATGTGTAGATGTGTACTGGTGTGTGCATATGTATATGTATTGACCTTGCAGGCACCCCCTCCTCTCCATGAGGCTTTAGGGGATCCCAAGCCAGAATACCTTTAATGGGGTGCCTCCCAGGCTTTTTGGAACCCTGGCTTGATTTTTAAAAAATACATTTTTATTGGTTTCAGAGAGGAAGAGAGAGAGAGAGAGGAACATCAGTGATGAGACAGAATCATTGATTCGGCTGCCTCCTTACACCCCTCCCTGGGTCTGGAGCCCAAAACCCTGACCGGGACTCACCATGATTTCCTGGTTCGTAGGTTGATACTCAACCACTGAGCCACACTGCCGGGCCTTGCTTGATTTTTTTAAAAATCTGCTTCCAAGACCATACCATTCTTCAAGATGACGGATTTGCTGTGGAGAGAAGATGAATCTGTGAATGTTCAAGAAATGGAAGTTATCAACTGAGACCAGATAGGTTTGTCCAAATACGGAGAAAGACAGTACAAGATAGGTATGAAGGGAACATAAAATGGCAAGTCCTGGAGAGAGAAAACATATGTAAGACAGAGCTGCTAAAGGCATGCCCAAAGATATGAATGTGCACACAGACAGACATGATGTACGTCTGCGGTGAGCACCAGCGGCCCACTCAGATGTGCTCCACGGGGGAGAGCGGTGACCTTGCAAGGGCGGAGGGTGATAAATGACAGCACTCCCAGCAACGTCACACTCACAAAGGGCCCAGCACTCAGTCTCCTGGCTTCTCCTGAAGTCTGTGCCTTCCAACCCTTCCCTCACACTCCCTGCCTCCCTCACAGGGAAGAGCACCTGACCTCTCTAGCCACAAAGGAGCATAACAGCAGGAAGAAATAACAATGATCAGCTCTAACCGGTTTGGCTCAGTGGATAGAGCATTGGCCTGTGGACTGAAAGTTCCCAGGTTCGATTCCGGTCAAGGGCATGTACCTTGGTTGCGGGCACATCCGCAGTAGGGTGTGTGCAGGAGGCAGCTGATTGATCTTTCTCTCTCATCGATGTTTCTAGCTCTCTATCCCTCTCCCTTCCTCTCTGAAAAAAAATCAATAAAATATATAAAACAAACAAACAAACAAACAAACAAACAAACAAAAAAATAATATCAGACCCAGTGTCATCAGGGATGTGGAGAAAAGGGCACATGTACAGATTTCTAGTAAATGTGCATCTGTTCCTTTTCGGTCAAGAACAGTTTGGCAGAATCAAAGTCAAAACACTTCAAGGGGCCTGGCCAGTGTGGCTGAGTGTTGACCACTGCTCACCTCTCAGCACCCTCCGTGCTCAGGGGAGCGAGACTGGGGCGGGTGGAGGTGGAATGAGTGAGGGCGTGGACACGCCTTGGGTGCCTGGTTGGAGTTTTCTACTCCTTCCAGTTCATCCGGCCACCCTTCACTCTGAGCCAGGCACTGCCCGCCCCTCCACGACCTCCTAGCCCAGCGGGGAAGGGGGCAGAGAAGGAAGGATTTTGTTCAGTTCCCTGTGCCCACGCCAGGGAGAGGCCCCTGCAGACCAGGAGGGCCACCCCTCTGCCTTGCTGGGCAGGGTTCTCAGCTCAGACCCCCGAGGCGAAGGTGGCATGGGAGGAGCTCAACACTCTCCCTTCTGAAGACACAGCTGCCCTGTGGCTCTGCAGAGGACGGCCCAGGGCTCCAAGATCCTCCTGTTCAAAGGCTAAATGCCTGTTTTGGTGCGAACTCGATTTAAAAAAAAAAAAAGCAAAGCACGTGCTGAGTCAATATCCTGCAGGCCCAGCTCACTTTGAATGTTGGATATGGCCCGTGGACCTCCACCTAAGACTTCATTCGGGGGGTGAGGGAGTGGGAGCTGGAGAGCAGCTGGCTGGGTTGGCTCAGCAGCTCTAGAGCGGAAACTGGATACTCCCTCTCCCTGCCTCTTCCTGCCTCTCACTGTCTCTCCATGCCTCTCCCCCTCTCTCTGCCTCTCCCTGCCTCTCCCCCTCTCTCTGCCCCTCCCTGCCTCCTCTCCCTGCCTCTCCCCCTCTCCTTGGTCTCCACTCCATCTCTCATCATCCTCCTCAGCACCACCAGGCCACTAGATGGCACCATGAGCCCAGCATCTCCTGGAGGCTGAGCAACCCCGAGTTCCCAAATCCTGAATGCTGACCCACCCTGCAGCATCACAGCCATGGCCCCACCTGGGACTTCCTGGTTTGCCTTTTCTCTCTGAGTTTTCATTAAGTCAAAAAGCCCCTTTATGTCAGGTTCGTTCTGTCTCGAGGCCAGCATTGCCAATAGAAATATAATGCCAGCCAGGTTTCTCATTGCCTAGTAGGCAGGTTAAAAAAGTAAAAAGACGCAGGTGACATTAATTTTACTAGTTTTCTTGGGCTCAGTGCATCCAAAATATTATTTTGCTATATAATCAATGTACAAAATATAAATGGGAATAACTTGCATTCTCTCTTTTTTCTTTTTGTACTAAGTGTCCGAAATGTGTGTTTTATACGAAATGTGTGGGACCAGACACACTTCCAGCGCTCAGTAGTCCTGTGGCTAGAGGACCCGGAACTGAGCTGGAGGACCCAAGTTCTGCCACCCAAGGCCCAGCTCCCAGGTTGTCACATGGAATTCGGCCCAAACTGGATGCTGACAGAGGGCCTTGGGGTCTCAGGGACCCAACTTGCCACCCTCCGCAGGAAGCCTCATAGTTAAGAAGGTGTCGGCACATTTGTGGGAGTTCCTGGGCCAGGGGGCTCAGCTCGCCCCATCTTCCTTGCGTACCTGGGTTGGTGAGAGCCCTCCGGAGGGCCATGGTGAGGGACGAAGCCACACCCCACCCCTGTGCCCAGGCAGGGCAGGGGCCTCTCTCACGGCCCTGGAGGTCTGCATATTCATCCATCCTGAGTATTCATCCACCCTGGAGGTCTGCATTTTGCAATTAACAGTGGATCGCCAGGATTGAGCAACCATTCTTAATTTAATGAAATCATATTCATCCATCCTGAGTATCTGCCTCAAAGGCAAAAACAATTTTTTTAAACTGAGTTGCCTCCAGGAGTTCTGTTAGCTCCCCTGGCATCGGCTCCTCGCTGCTCTCCTCCTCCCCCCGTGCCCAGTTCTTCACGGTCCCGCCCATCACACTCGCTCCGCTGCCTGTGCCGCTCCTGCTGGAAGCGGCCCTTCTGAAGCCAGCTAAGCACACCACCCAAAGCCACTTCTTTCTGCTGAAATGGTTCGTCTGGCTTCACACTGGCCCCTGGACTGGACCTGACCGGAACTGGTATCTGGTGCGGATGCGACTGAGATGAGTATCACTCTCCATTCCCAGGCCTTGGTTTCTAGTCTGTGAGAGCAAAGGGTTCGAACACCTCACCTCTGAGCTGCCTTCCATCTCTGACTTCCCCACCATCATGCATGACCCCAGGGTTTGAAACTGCTACAGCCTCCTGTACACCACACACACACACACACACACACACACACACACATTCACACAGTCTCACACACTCACACACACACACACACACACACTCACACACACACACACTCACACATACACACATACACACACTCACACAGTCTCACACACACTCACACACCCTCACACACACACACACATACACACACACAGTCTCACACACACACACTCACACACACACACAGTCTTACACACACACTCACACATACTCACACACACTCACACACACACATACACACACACTCACACACTCACACACACATACACACACACAGTCTCACACACTCACACACACACACAGTCTTACACACACACTCACACACACTCACACACACACACACACACACACACACCCTGGTGTTTCCAGGTCCTCCTTACAAAGGTAAGGAGAGAGACTGGGGACAGAGATGTGGAGACTAGAGAAGGAAGCAGAAACACAGAAGACAAAAGAGAGAACAGAGACAGTACGAATCCGAGTGGACAGGCAGCCAGAAGCGGGGCCCCGTGTGCCCCCAGGAGCCCCGGGTGCCTGATGGGCATGGGATGGGCTAACACTCCCCCCAACACCTGCTCTGCCCACACCTTGGTGAGCTGCTCAGAAACCCATCCAGTGGGCCCCGTTGGTCCAGGCAGGATCCTGCAGGGCCCAAACCGGGCTCCATCTCCCCTTCCCTCCAGGAGCCAGGAGCCAGGAGCCAGGAGCCAGGCTCTGGCCTCGAAGCCTCCGGAGGTGGAGGTCACGGTCATGGCCGGGGCGGGATGCAATAGGTTCAGGGCCTCATGTTTCCCGAAGCTAAGAGGAAGCAGCCCCCTGCCCCAGGGGAGGAAAAGCGAGGGGCTCGGTCCCCAGTTCAGCTGGAGAGACCCCACCCCGTGTACCCACCCTCTCTCTTCCCCCACCCAGAGCCCCCGCCCAGAGGAGCAGCCCGTGGCTGCTCCGGGCAGAGGAGGTCGGCCGAGTCCCTCGGGCAGCCGGGCTGGCAGAGCGGGGCTGGGCGGGCAGAACGCCGCTGGGCTGGGCGGTTCCCGGGGGAGAGGAGAATTGAAAGGGAAAAGCTTCTCTGAGGAGGGCAGGGAGAGGGAGGCCGCTGGGACACACACACACACACACACACACACACACACATACGCACACGCACGCAAACGCACACACACACACACTCAGCCACCCTGACTTCGCCCGAGCCTCAGTCTGGAGAGGAGCTCCTCTCTCTGCTCTGCGAGCTGCGAGCTGCCGCTCCCCCGCCCATCCGCGCTGCCAGCAGCATCAGCAAAGTTGGCCTCCAACTTGAACGGAAGGGAAGTCTCTCCCCGGCTCCCAGCGGCTCGGCAGGGCAGCGGGCCGGCCCCAGACGCTGGACTCCGTGGGCCTGGACAGCCCACCCTCCCACCCTTCTCCCCGGGACACTTCGGGCCCTGACCTGTGGCCCCTGCCCCCTGGCTGGGCTGAGGCATGGGGCGCTGAGGTCCTTCTGGAACCCCCTTCTCACGGTCTGGAACCCAAGCGGCCCAAGGTCCGAGCCAACATGGCCAACGCCGTGCAGCCTCAGTCTCCCCCTGCGCGGGGGCAGCCGGGCGCCGCCTCGCCCCTGGACCTGCCCGAGATGGAGATGCTGCTCACCAAGGTGGAGGGCCAGGCGGACAGGCCCCTGAAGCTGCCCAAGTCCCTCTCGGGGGCGCTGGACCTGGAGCAGAACGGCCACGGGCTGCCCTTCAAGGTGGTGTCCTCCGAGGGGCACCGGGAGGCCTCCCTGCCCTGCTCGCCCTCGCGGGCCAGCTCCCGGCGGGCGTCCTCCACGGCCACCGCCTCCTACGCCCAGGACCAGGAGGCTCCCAAAGATTACCTCATCCTTGCCATCGCCTCCTGCTTCTGCCCGGTCTGGCCCCTCAACCTCATCCCCCTCATTTTTTCCATCATGGTGAGTGCTGCCCTCTGCGCCAGGGCCCGGTGGGCACAGGGGGGTGGGGGGTGGTGGCAGGCATGCTCCCTGGCATGGGTGCAGGGAAGCGAGAGGTGGGACCCAGGGGCTGGGGGAGAGACCCCCTTTCTCAGCTGGCCGACTACCCCCCCTTGGAGGAGGGTCCGGGCCAGGAGAGGGTTTGCTTACTCTTCTCTGATCTCTGCTCTTGACTTTGCACAGAACCCTTTGGGGGAGGGGGCTGGGGGAGCCCCCTGGAGCTAAATGCCAAAGCACAGAGACGGCCACGTGGGGGTCTTGCCTTTTGGGGTGGCCGGGAGGGCTGTCCCCAGCAGCCACTCCTGAGCAGGGCTGTGCTATCAGCAGAGGTGGCCGCTGCAGTGGAGTCCCAGGGCCAGTGTGCTCAGGAGGAGGGCCAGCCCCCCACACCTTGCCCCTGGCACCTGGGTGTCCTCAGTGCCAGCTCTGGCTCCCAAGAGCCCCAGGGGCTTCCCTGCCGGGCACCGAGGGGCTGGGGTCCTGGCTCCCCCGGCTGCTCCTCTCGGGACAGTCCTGGCCCGGCCCTCGGTGGTTACAGATTTCAGCCTCTGTCCTCAGGGTGGGGGCGGTCTGGGCCACGGGAGGAAACCATGTCAGAGGGCGTGCTGGGCTTGCCAAGAAGGAACTGCGGGCGTGTCTCTGTGCCTCACGCACTCCTGTTGGGAGTCCAGGGTTGGGAGTCCATGGTCTGAGATCGCCCCTGGACCGCGCCATGTGGACAGAGCTCCTTGCAGAGGGTCCACAGACACGGTCAGCAGACGTGATGTTTGAGGTCTAGCCAGGAGAGAGACAGACAGACAGACAGACAGACAGTGGCGTCTCGAAGGAAGCCGGGAGCAGGGGGCGGCGGTCTGGGTGGGGAGAGACTGTCCCTCGGTCTGCAGTGACTCCACCGCGGAGCCGTCCGTCACCAAGCCCCTCGGAGCGGTGGTCACTCCTGCTGTCCACGGGCTGTCCTCTGAGGAAGCCTCTGCTTCCTCACACGTCTCTGTCTGCCTCACCCCGCACGGTCTCCGCGGGAAGCCTTCCCAGCCCCATCCGCTCCGTAAGGCAGAGGGACTTGGCACAGGGCCAGGGCTGGCAGCACCCAGGTGGGGCCAGGAGGGGCGCCCGGTGTGCCTGCTGCACGCGGGGACCCCGGGGCAGGGCAGGGCCAGCTCAGGGGTGCAGCCGGTGGCTCCGGGCAGGGCCAGCCTCTTGACGACAGGGAGAAGCCCCAGGAGGGGAGGCGGGTTGTGGGAGGAAAACCACCCAGGGGCCCGGGAGGGAACAGTTGCTAGGCCCGGTCTCCCGGTGGGGGTGGCGGGAGGCAGGCTGGGTGAGGAAACCCGGGCCCGAGCCTGGGAGCCAGCGAGCCCACGCTCAGCGTGTTTCCATGTCCTTCCCGGGCCCTTGAGTCGGCCTGGTGGGCACGGGGCCAGGGGCAGGGAACCAGGCGCTAACCCAGACATCAGCACCAGCTCCCAGGGGCCCCCAGCCCAGTGGGGAGAAACTTGTAAACAGATCCTCTCGGCACACTGCAAGGAGTGTTCGTGCTCGGCGAAACCACAAGGTATCGCGTGGCCTTTGCAAGTCACTCAGACCTCTCTTCTCCTCGGCACACCTGTCTGCGAGGTGGGGGGCGCCACCACACCCACAGGATAGATAGCGCTGGGTGAGGGCGAAACGAGGCAGGTCGTACCCGGCACGCAGTTAAACGCTATCACACAGGAACAGCAATCTCCCTAGCGAGGTGCGGAAACCATCACAGGTTTGCTGCGGGTCCTTGAGAGGTTAGAAATGTAACCCATCATACAGTTCACCCACCTACAGTGCAGGACAGGGGTGTTTAGGACAGGCACCGTGAGGGGCGGCCGTGCCCACACTCCATTTTAGAACATTTCCTGGCCCCCAGGGAAACGCTGTACACACACCTACACACACACACACACACACCTCACTCTCAGTCCCTCCCAAGCCTAAGCGACCGCTCATCTTTCTCTATGGACTTGCCTCTTCTGCGCGTGTTATGCACATGGAATCACACAACACGTGGTCCTTCGGGACCGGCTTCTTCCAGGGGCACCGAGTGTTCAGGCTTTACCTGTGCGGCGGCAAGTCCACTAGAGGGTTTGGCGCCAGAGAGGGGTGTGGTCAGGTTTCCATTTTGCTGGGTCGGTCTTGTGTGGGGTGAAAGGAGGGGCCTTTTTGGGGGAGCAGGTGAGAGAGGAGTGGGCCTGGGCCAGGGCACGGGGCAGGGGGAGCTCTGTAAGTGGTGGGTGACACGGAGCACTCGTTCCGTCGCCCGTTCAGTCCCTTGAACGGCGTGTTGCTTGCTTGGAGAGAAGTAAGTGGTGGAGGATGTGTCTTTATGCCCCAGGCTCCGTGGTAGGCATTTGGGAAGCGGCTGGAGGAGACCTGGTCTATGTGGTGAGAGAAGGATGGGAGCATGTGGCGGTCAGGGGAGGTGGACAAGGACCTGCTCTAGGAGTTTAAGGTTTTTAAAAAATATATATTTTTATTTACTTCAGAGAGGAAGGGAGAGGGAGAGAGAGAGAGAGACATCAATGATGAGAGAGAAAATCATTGCTCAAGCTGCCTCCTGCAGGCCCCTCGCCGGGGTTTGAGCTCACAACCTGAGCATGTGCCCTCACCAGGATTGAACCACGACCTCCTGGTTCATAGGTCGATGAACCACGCTGACTGGGCTAGGAATTTAACTTCTATCCTAGTGGCTCTGAGGAGCTTCTAAAGGTTTAAAGCAGCCCCCGCTGGTCTGGCTCAGTGGATAGAGTGCAGGCCTTCCCACTGAAGGGTCCCAGGTTCCATTCCAGTCAGGGGCACATGGCAGGTTGTGGGCTCGATCCCCAGTAGGGGGCATGCAAGAGGCAGGCAATGGATGATTCTATCTCATCATTGATGTTTCTATCTCCCTTTCTCTCTGAATTTAAAAGAAAAAATGTATTAAAAAATAAATAAGGATTTTTTTTTAAGCAGAGGCTTAAAACGGATGTGGTCAGTTCATATTTTAAAACCAAACCATTGTGGGAAATGAATGAGAGCAGGCCGGATGGGGACAGGGAAGGGCCCCCGCAGGAGGCCCCTGAGCTGGTGCAGCAGATGCGAAGGCCGTGGGCTGAGGAAGGAGGGCGCTGAGGAGGGAGGAGCAGTGCTTGCTTTGGAGCCCCAATAGTCAACTCAAAAACAGCGGCACCATCGCAGAGAGCGCTCTGGCACACAGCTCTTCAGGGTGGGCAGAGGGGGGTGGGCAGAGGGGGTGGGCAGAGGGGGGTGGGCAGAAGGGGGGGGCAGAAAAGGGGGTCAGGAAGAAGCCTCCAGGAGGGAGGAGGAAAACTGGAAAAGAAGGGGAGACACCAGGGAGGAGCGAGTTTGAAGAAGGAGGGAGTCGTCCAACGCAGCGGCCAGATCAGGCCCAATAAGGATGGTGTCCATGGCTTGGCCACTTATAGATCCCCGGTGACTCTGGTGATGGTCAAGCAAAATGAGAGAGGTGGCCCGGCCAGGGAGGGTCCATGGTTGAGCGTCAACCTGTAGAACCAGGAGGTCGTGGTTCCATTACCGGGTTGCCCGCTCAGTCCCCAGCAGGGGGTGTGCAGGAGGCAGACGATAGAAGATTCTCTCTCATCATTGATGTTTCTCTCTCTCTCTCTTCCTCTCTGAAATCAATACATTTTTTTTTTTAAATGAGAGGGGATGGATGAGGCGAGGTCCCTGAGGAGTGGAGAGATGGGGTCAAGAGAAAGACATCCTCTCTGGGAGCTGGGAGGGGAGGAAGCAGATGGAAATATTTGAAGAAAAGGAAGCCGTTCATGCTGTCTGAGGTCCATGCCACCAGGGACACGGAGGGCGAGCTTGTTTGCTGGGAAATAAGGGCCTGACGGCCGAGGGAGGGAGGTGACCAGGCACAGACACGTCAATGCCCGAGGGCTCTGCTGGGGACCAGGGGTCTGAGTGGTGATTGGCCTGCTGTCTCAGGCCCCTTGGCTTTTCCAGTTCCTTCCCACCCGCCATTGCAGTTGCTCCGACTCCGCCCCTGGAGCCCCCTCCGTTCCTTCCCTCTCTTTTTAAAAAATGAGTCTATCAGGATGAACTTGGCTAAGGAATCGGGATGAACTTGTCTCAGGCGCACAGCTCCACAACACACCATCTGTCCACGATCCTGTGCGCTCCCCACCCAAGTCAAGTCTCCGTCCATCGCCATCTACCACCGCCCCCACTACCCTTCGCTGCTCTGCAGCCACGGGAGGGCTAGCCTGCAGCCAGGGCCCGGCAGAAACAGCTGCAGTGCTAAGGAGGGGGGAAAGCAGCTCTCCCCAGCATCCTCCCCAGCCCCCACCCACTCAGACTTTTTTTCAGTCTTCCTTCCCTGATCTATTAACTTGAATTCATTTTCTCCCTCACCATGCCCACAGCCGTTGCAATCACGGATGATCTATTAATTCACAGTCCTTATGATCATTACTGAAATGATTAGCGTGCCTTCGACTTAAGCCACTTTTTATACAAGAAGGCGATGCCACTAAGTGGGGATGAGCGAGCAGCTGGTGCTTCCTGGTGAAAAGCAGTGAAGGGTCTCCTTCCATCCCTGTAGCCAAGGAATGGGTCATTCGCTTGGTAACTGATGGGGGGGGGGTGCTGGTGGCTTCAGAAATGAGTGCCAGCCAGTGGTGAGGAGCCTACGACTAAAAGCAGGGTCCTGCTCTTCCAGGAGCTATTTCCCTCCATCGTGAGGACATGAAGACTTACAGGACGGTTGTGAGACTTACCCTGGAGGTCGCCGATAGTGTCTCACACATCAAAGCCGCCGCTGTCAGGTCTGCCCCGTTCCCTCCGGCCTTTCCCAGTGTCTCAACGGGGACTCTCCGGCTCTGAGGAGCATGCAGGACCGGGAAGCAAGGACTGATGGTTCTGTGGATTAAAAAGAGAGAGTGGGCTTAGTGGGACTGGGAAAATTCTCCCTG